TGTTTTAGGCTGTTATTCTGGGCACAATGCTGAGATACCACACATTTTTGTTATTTGGCATCAGCTCCTGGACATTCAAAGGCACTGCATAAGCTCACCAGTTGAGAGAACTATTGGCACTAGATTCCTTGCGTCTCTGTGAACCTAAAATTTTGCCACAAGGCAAGGAATCCGAGCCTTATGATTTTGACACAGCTTTGAAATCTTATAGCTCACCCTTTAAGCATGAATGAGATTCCCACAACAGGACGTTCCCTCCCTGCCTCATCTGCGGGGGCGAATCATTCCTCAAGAACAACCACTCAGCCAGTGCTTTGGCAAAGGGAGCTGGAGTGTTTGGCATTAGCCAGGATACGCTCCCCCGCACACCCCAGTGGCACAGCAATTAGGAAACTCCCCTGGAATGCAGCCATTCCCCACCAGCTCGCTCAAGGAGCTTCCTGATCAGAGGTTTCTGTGAAATTCACTCCCACTTCTCTTCCCACACCGCTAAGGAAACCTCAGCGGCTCACGCAGGGCCACATCTTCCTTCAGGCAGAGGGCACCCAGGATTATGCAGAGGGATGTCGATCAAGGGAAGAAACAATTGGGGTTTTGAGGATTTCGGTCTTGGAGTAAGTGGGGGAAGCAGCATTCCTCTCATGACATGATACCTGAGACACCTTAGGAAGGAAATATAAGTTCTCATCCAGATGTCACGCTCCAGAGTTGATTAACAAAAAACTGCAGAATACAATTCCCTAAATTTCATGCTGTTGCTAACTTCTTCCTCTACTTACGCAAAATAAACAATAGTCAGTAAAGGGTATCAGCTCATACTGCCTCTGCATATTCATGGCACTCTGTCAATCTGAAAATAAAGCCTTTAAGGATTACCCCATCTGTGATGAAAAGTGGTACTGGTGGTTGCTTATAAAGATCTACAAACTACCAGCCAATGCTCTGGGGCATCTATTCTTTCATCAGTTACCCCCAGCTGCCAGCAGCCTATTAGGGAAGATGTGGAATTGGGCATTAAAAACTAACCCAATTGAGATGAAGGACAAGCACATAAAAAAGGCACAGTGTTTGGAAGAAATGACAGAGTATAAGCCACAGGTCTTAGAAGATCAGGATTGCTTCACCCTTTCCTATTAATGTTGATCCATCAGACTTAAATTTCCTCTCTCGATCTAAAGCACATTCACAGCATCAACCCAACTGTTAGACGTTTCTCCTTCTTCTCGAGAAGCATGGAGGTAGGAGGTCCAGAACAGTAAGATGTCTCTTCTTTCATTTACCAGCAAACAAGTTCACATCCTAGACAGAATTCAGCACGCATTATACAATTACGTTGAATCCAAATTTCTATCTGATACATGGCACTTCTTAGAACATTTAGAAGCACTGCATTCTGGAAAGCTTCAAAAAGTACCCAAACCCTATGGAACTAAAATAGTGTAGCCGGATCCTAGTTACAGATACTCATATCAGACATGGAATGATTCAGACCTAAGTAACTGGAAGTATATCCAGTCTAATTGTTTTTTTGTTTGTTTGTTTGCTTCTTTGTTTTAGAAACAGACATTCAATACAATTTAAAAGTTCTGGAGCTATTTAGAAAGTAAGCCTTCTAAAGTGTAAATATGCTTTTTATTAAAGTCAGTTTTTCAGAAAAAATAACACCAAAGGAACGTGTTGTGTTTAAATGAGGAAAGTACCAGAAGCTCATGTATGGAGTATGAAGAGTTCCTGTGTAGGAAGAGTTCATGCAGGCAGCTGAAAATGCTAAGGCAGTAATTTACAGCTATCTCCATGAGGCCCAGACTGCACTGGTCACAATTGCAACTGCAATGCAAACGGCAACACCAACCTGTTCTTATTGCTTCAATTCACTCTGAAACAAATGAGCACAAACATCTAGGGAATGTAATGGTAGAATCCATCTCATCCAGCTTGACATATCTAGATCAATGGAGTCCAGAGAGTGATTCATCTGACTAAAAGTAGAGCCCTGCTTTAAAATTAGTTGACTCATTTTCTGGACAGTATAGATCCTCATTGACTATGACTCCAGGCCTATCAGCTGCCTTTACTCACTCTAAAACAGGAGAGAAATTCAATGGGTTTGACTGAAGGCTAGGGATATTCCAGGACATGATCAAGTAAACTAGTAGCAAATACAGACTGTCTTCCAGTTCCCATTGTAGAGGAACTATTAATGAACCTACAGAGACATCACTAGGGCAGAAATTATAGACAGACAGTGTGCTCAAAACAGGCATTAAGTAAAAAGAGAAGGAAAGTTGGAAAGAAAAGATTAGGGTTTTTTAAATCTACAGTAAGCATAGTGCTTTTTTTTTTTTTTTTTTTTTTACAATTATGTTTTTACACTTGGCCTTTATGAATATTCACCACGAACCAACAATGTATTTTTATGCAGTCAAAGTCTTGGCACATGAGGAAGATCATCTGTTCAAATTTTTTCAGATTGTATCACAGGCTTTAAATTATAGCTTAAAAAACATGCAGATGTTGAATTTTCAAAGATATTTAAACAAAAATTATTTTTCTTAACTATGAGAAAAGAAACTCATTAGTTACATCTTCTTTTGTACAAGCATATTCTTGCAATCAGCATATGAGTGACACTTTCACTAGATGCACTGAAACTGTTATGGTTTTTTTAGATCACAGACACTCTTCCAAAGCAAAACTGAGCAGCCACAGATTTTTTCTTACCAAGCATAATATAATTTAATCCAAGTGTTGAAAGATGATAAATATTTTCTTCTCTGCCCACTAGAAAATCCCATTTTCCCCTTCCCAATATTTCTAATCAAATACAAGCTAGTGTGTGGATTTGTTAAAACATACTACTGAGGAAAGGAAGAGAGTTTATACTCTGTTGTCACAAAAACAGAACCTAATCAAACTGATGATGCAATGCTAAATTTAAGACAAAATCCAAGAAATGCTTTCTAGATATCAAAGGTTAAAAATATGCTGGACATTTTTCTTTATGGTAAGGGCTGTAATTATCTGCTCCCTTATATTTATCCTGTTATCTATAGCTGCGGAAACTGCTGCCACATTAGAGAACTGCATCTATTTTGCTAAACTGCCCATGATTACACTAGGATAAAGAAAAGTCATATAGACCATTCAAACATGTATCATCTACATTAAATTTTTAGTGGGAAATGAAAGAGATCAATACTGTTTCTTATAAAATTCATTTGGTCACAGTCATAAGGAGATAGCTGGCATTTTTTTTTCCAACCGTTGTTTAGGATGTGCACACTTTTTAACAGCAAGTTAATAACAAGCTGACTGCTACATGCCAGCTTTTCACTTTATGCAATTTTTGTAACTTACAGCTCCATATACCTCAGCAGAACAATTTCTGTGCAGCAATATCACATTCTCAGATAGTTTTGCTAATACTGAAGTTAAGTAGAGTGTTAGGAACACAGGAATTAACACCAGTTAATTGATCTAATTCTAAATAGGTGTCACCTGCAGTAGTGCACACCAGCCATCAACAGACAATCATGTGTTAACTATTACATAGATAAGAAATCCACAAAAGAAAACCGCAGTTTGCAGACAACAGGGCTACTCCAAACCATCTGCCACTTTCTACTATCTTCAATCTCATCTGAAGGCAATAGAAAGAACTTCCCTCAAACTAATCCCAATTAACCATCCTCTTAGGTTGTTTTGTCTTCAGTTGAGAAACATGAACTCTTTGAATGTAGAGCCATGTTCTTCAAGTCCCATTATTATGAGCCAGATTCAAAGATAGATTCAGGCTGGTTTTATGGTTCTACATTGAAACACACAGTTTTCAAAATCGAATTTCAGCTTTCGCTTTTTGGCACTGAAATGCGGAGGTGCCTCACTTTTGACAATCTCTCTGGTGGCACAGAGATTCTAGCAGATCTGCGATAGCAAACAGTTGCCATCTGCTCTCTGACTTGTCCCTCTGATGGACAGATTTGAAGTGATCTCGAGAGGTCATCCAATTCAATTTCTCATTCAAAGCGCCTCCAACTAAAACAAGTTGCACAGCTAGGTTTTGCATAATTCCAAGGATGTAGGCTCCGCACCTACTGAAAACCTGTACCGCCATGTCACTGTCTTCATGGTGAAAATATATTTCCTGCAGAATTTCCGGTGTTGCAGCTTGTCTCCATTGACTCTTTTCCTAGTATCGTACATCTCCCAGAAAAGTCTGGATCTCTTCTCTATAACCCCCCTAACACCTCTCCTCATATTCTTGTGCTCCAGCCTGTGTGACCTTGGCGACGTTGTGCAGCATTCACGCAAGGATGTCAACATCTTCTCTGTGCTGGGTAGACAAAACCATTTATCCTGAAGTTGTTTCACAAGTACCAAATATAAGGGAGTCATTACTTCTGCCAACCTGCTGTTATCCATCTTGCTAGCACAGCACAGGGTATGCTTCACCTTGATTACTCCAACTGCTGACTTGTGTTCATTGTGCCCACAAGGTCCTTTTCTGCTCAAGTCAGTTAATCTCCAGCTTGTGCAGCTGCAAGGGGTTATTCCACGCCCAACATGAGAATTTTGCCTTTGCTAAGCTTGGTGAGGCTTCTGGAAACCCATTCCTCTAGCTTGTCTTCATCCCTACAAACAACAGCCATACCCTCCAGCACATCAAATGCTCCACTACAAGATGGTATCATCCATACATTTGCTGACAGTGTACTCTCTTCCGTAATCCAGATCATTAACAGTGAAGGCATCAAACAGTATTAGCCTAGAATCAGTTCCTGAGGGGGACTGCCACTAGCAACCAACTGTCAGCTGGAATTTTTACTGCTGATCACAACCACTTAGCCTGGCAGTTCAGAGAGTTTTCCATCCAACTTATCATTCCCTTCTCCTGTCCATATCTTATCATTTCAGCTATTAGAATACTATCAAAGTCCACAGGAAAAGCTTTGCTACAGTCAAGATAAACAATATTTATAATCTTCCCTTGATTACCTTACCTTGGAAATCAATCAGGTTGATCAGGAACAGTCTGCTTTTTTGCAAATCCATGCTGCCTGTATCTAATCATGTTCTTGGCCTTCACAAGCTCAGAAATGGTTTTCAGGAGGAAATCTTCCAGGAGCTTGAGGTTAAACTGCTTAGACTACAGTTTCTTGGATTTTCTCACTCAACTGTCTTGAAGATGAGCATAATGTTGGCCTTTTCTGTCTATCAGGGACCACCTCAGTCACTGTAACTGCCAAAGACAATGGTTAGCAGACTCACAGCAGCATGGGCTGGCTTCTTTAGCACCCTTGGATGCATCCCATTTATTCACATGACTTGTTTAGGTCCAGTTGATTTAATTGCTCACCCCTTCTCTGCTGCGGTTATTGCTTCAATCCCACAGATTCTACTATTAGCCTCAGAATTATGGTTAATTCTTACTAGTGAAACAAAATGAAACAGAAGGCAGAAAAGGCATTGAACATCCTATCCATCTCAATACATTTTGCTTCTGAGTCCCTTGGCAGAGTATTTGGGCCAAGTTTTCCTTAGGCTTACTTTTTGCTACCACTTAAGCCCTTTCTGTTGCCTTTCACATCCTCTGCTATTGCAACACCAGCTGAGTTTTGGCTTTCCTAATTCCCACCTTGCAGACTTGGGAAATATCTGTATATTCTATACAGGTAGTCTTCGTTCTGCTTCTTCCTTCTATATAGTCCTCCTTTGTTTTTGAAGTCATTCAAATGTCATGTTCGTTCATATCAGCCTTGTACCACATTTCTTAAACTTTCTATGATTTGGAATGATCACTTCTGTGTTCTGAGGAGACTGCTCTTAAAGATCAATTAGTTGTCCCACGACTTCTTGACTCCCTACCAAGCAGATCTCTGAAAAAGCTGAAATTTGCTCCCGAGAATTCCAGGCTTCCAATTATACCGTTTGCTGTGCTCGTTTCTGTGAGAATTTTAAACTATACAACACAGCCAAAGCTTCCCTCAGCCTTCACATCCCCAGTTTGTTTACAAGTAAAATGTCCAGCAGAGCACTTCCCCTAGATGGCTCACCAATCATTCCTGTCAATGAACTGTCATTGGATTTTTTTGCACTTAACCCATGCTTCAAGGAGAAATGTGATATAGAGCCATAAAGGCTGGAAAAGACCTCCAACATCATCAGGTGCAACTGTCAACCCATCACCACTGTGCCCACTAAACCACATCTCTCAGTGCCACATAAGTGTCTTTGGTTATCCTTTGTTTGCAACAAGATTCTGGGTGAGACAGATCTTATGTTCAGGTTCAAAATCTATGACTGAGAGAAAGGCAGAAACTTGTAGCACCTGCCACATCAGGCCCTGCTATTATCTTCATCACCTTTGATAAAGTTAGGAACAGAAAGGGAGACTAAGGAGAACTTCTCAGGTTGTTGGTGCTAGCTATGAAGATGAGCAGAACAGTCCTATGTTGAATCTTACCCACTCATCAGTGTTCAAGGAACATGCAGTACTCCAAGGCTGAACAGTACCAGATTGAGAAAGGCAGCATGTTTGAAATCTCTCCATGCAGGAAATTATCAGGTGAAACAGTGCTGGAGGTGACATCCTTCTGCCCTGTTTCACTTTCCAATGATTTTCTTCATAATCTCACGTGCTCAAGAAGTCTTGTTATACTGAGGGTTAAAGGAACTCCTTCACAGTATGGCTTTCTCGAAGAAAGGATTCAAATGGGCTCAGTGACCAAGGCTTTTGCCAGTTCACAGCTCCTGCTTATTTACTGTGGCCACGGACTTCTGAATTCAACGATGTCTTCACTAGCTTCTGAAAAGCTTCTCATCTCTTTTTGTTCTAAAATAATGATGGGTTGAGCATTTATCAGGAATGTATCACTTTTTAAGGCAGTTAAGGCTCTGTGTTTGCACAGGAGAGAAGAGCCAGTCTTTCTAAGTCATGCTGAGTGAAAAGTCATCTTTAGAGAAGACTTGCAGAGGCACACGCACATCTTATGTCTAATAAAAAGAAAGCAACTTACTTCTTGTCACTGCAGCAAGACTCTCCATCTCATCAATGCCTTTGAGAGTAATCAGTCTGGGGCACTGTCAGCATCGCTGACTATAAGAATGGGAAAATATTATCTGATCCTGAGAAGCAGGGCATGCAAATATCCTAAAAGGTTAATACACATGTGTTTTATCACTTAAAATAAAACCTGGCTTCTCTCTGGTGAAGGCCGTAACCTCTATAAGCAGGAAAACAACTCTTCTTCCTGAGGAATCATATTTTAAATGAAAGAACATAAACACTAATCAGGACAGCACTCAAGGTTATAAATCTCAAGTAAAATAGTTAGCTGCTGCCAGCAGTACCAAGTGCCCTAGCTTTAAAAACCTCCAAGATCCTCTTTTGTGCAGGATACTTTCACTAGGTTAAGCTGCACCTCTCACTTGAGTACTACAGTTCCTATTCCAGGGCAATTATTCTGTCCTTCTAACGAGGTAGGTTTGACATTTAATTTGAAACTGCAGATTATGCTGCTGACTGACTGACTACTAGAAAGCTTTTTCAAGTATTACAGCCAAGCTCCAGGAATATTTGGGGCAGGATACTATGCTTAAAGTTCTTCACCTACAAGTTAGATACTATGCAGTCCTGATGTTCACTTTTTCATCAAGACTCAGGTTTTCCTTTTTCTTCTTTAAGACTAGAAATCTCATTTCTTTGGAAGTTGGGTTGCTCTTCAAGTGCAGAAGGGAACCTTTGTTCTCTTCTTCAATAAATATCATACTGTGAATGTTAAAGGATACCAAATTCGGGTTCTGCAGAAGCGGGAATACAGTCTGTATGGGTCATCCCTACTCACATCAGGCTGATGAGAAGGGCCATATAACAGTTCCGAGTTTTCTCTTAACATTTGTTAGCCAATTTACGTCCAGTTGCAATAACTTACTTAAAACTTCATTTTATGGCTAACCTTGACTGTAAGTTAAAACCAACAAATAAACAGAAACTTACTGCGGTAGCATTCAGATTCCTCCATTAATAGGTCGTATTTTAATCAGAATTCTCTGTCCAGCAGATAACAAACTGTCTCCAGGAGAATCTGTTTGTATTTTTATGGCACTTTTCTTCAATTTATCTCTCTGCAGAAATTCATACACGAATGATCTCATAACGTTAATAGAGGTTTCACAGCTATAAAGCTAATACACATTTTCATATTATAGGAAGGTTCACTAAGATAGGAAAATATGTGTGAAAATAGAGTTTGGTATTGGTTAAACGATCATGTTAAATATATCAGTGTCTTTACATTTAATAATTAGCTGTTTCTGATGGTTTTTTTCCTAGCATATACTAAGAACATATTTGGAAAAAAGGTAAGTAAACTAAAGGGATTCACAGCATTTTAATGAAATAAAAATCTTGTGTGTGAAGCATCAATTATATTTAAGAGAAAAAAAACAAAACCATGATGTTGCCTTCCCAGTTCAGTCACAACAATTCTGAAGCACCTGACACCTTTGATTTCACATGGAGTGTTGGACTGGGAGCTGTTTCAAGAGAAAATTGAAGTTATGTGAAAGAGAAATCCTTTTATAAGACTAAGTTATTTGTACAGTGTTTTTCCAATGTGTGAGAAGTACAACAGCTGGGCTGGAAGAGTATGGACCTTGTAGCTAAAATCTGAATTAACTGTTTTTAAAAACAGAGAAGAGCAAGTTAGTCTGTCTCTTTAATTCCCAACTTTCCATATGCTCTGCTCTAGCTCATATAAATAATTGTGATTTCTTATTGTGACAAAAAGGTTACAGAAGAAGAATATGAATGTAGATAACTTGGAGAACTCTGAACCTATCCCAAGGCCTAATCTGCATGACATCTCTTCTAACTAAATATGCTGAGGCATTTGACTCATCATTTTGCAGCTTCCCAAGGCTTCCAAGCTGTTCAAGGCTATACCTGTGCTGGAACTGTAACACATTATGAGCAGTTGTGCTGTTCCTCTGAAGCCAGGGCCCCTGCTGCTGAAGTAAAAGAGTGGAGGTGGTGAGGCTGATGTTGCCGCATCATCCTGGGCTCCAGCCCAAGCCTCTTCCATCATCAGAATAGAGATACCTGCACCGTGAGGTGTTAAAGGAGCTTCCTCTCTACTTGTTTTCTAAAACACAGTCCAGGTTTGGTATGACTGATAGGAAAAAGGGGATTTTCCTAATTGAAAACAAATAGTTAAAGTCAATACTTTCTTTTCATTAACATAACTGTACTGTATATAACATTAAATTCTAATTTGGGAATCATTTAATTCTTCCTTCTGTATTTATGGAGAGTTCGTGAATCCAGAATGATGTGCTGCAGCTCCACTACCAAAAAGCGTTGCAGGAAGGAGGAATAAAAAGCAGAAGCTGGAAGGAAGGATAAAACAATCAAGACTTAGCAGAAATTAAAATCTGCATGAAGATGTGTGGGAAGCACAGCCAGCAATATCCCATATTCGCACTCTCTTAGGCAAGGAATTTATTTCATAAGTGTATATATATATATACACAATATAAACATATATATGTATAAAGAACTTAAACATAAATGTTGTACTGTTCAAAAGGTTCTATCCATTCTTCCACAATTCTTCCATTCATGAAGAATTGTGATATTTACTTCCAATTCCCAGTCCTTAAAATAAGAAACAAATATAGTTCTTTATGGATATTCAGGCTCCACTTCCTCCCAGTGTCAAGGACAACAGACTCCAAATTTTAGGTCTTGGGATGCAGTACAATGTTCTGCAGCATAAAGGGCCCAAAGCAGACAACATAAGGAAAATATAAGGTGTCGATAAGCAAAAATGCTTTTTTTCTAACTAATTTCTGTATTATCTGCTTCCATTCCACCAAGGACATGCTGCATGCATAATGAAAGTAGTCTTCTATTACTGCTTCCTTGTAAATACCACAAAATGACAGTTGTACCCCACCTGCTCTGAGAAAAGAAATAGAAGCACAGTTGACTATTCAGCCAGGTGCACTCCTTTCAAAATATCTGTGGTAATGCAGCCACAAACTAGAGGACATATTTATCAGAAGATCCACCAACTCCCTTCATCATCCTTGTAAGCAGGAACAGGGAAGTAGTATCAGTACCTAACTGCCTTGATTTCAGGCTCCGTGCGCTTCTTAACTGGCATGAACAAGAGGAACAGTTCTTGGTCCTGATATCCTACCTGAATGATGAAGATACTGGAGCCTCTGAAGACTCAACATGGGAAGAAACAGCCTTGCCTTCCCCAAGCTGATCACTTCCCCCTTCTCTTGAACAGAATCTTCTTAGGTACACCTTTAAAAGGTAACTTTTACATCCTGTACGTTTTCAGCTGAATTAATCATCATCTGGGTTACAGTATGGCTGCAAGAATGCCAGTGGCAGGAAGAAGGAAGAGGATGAGGGTGAATTATTTTCTCCTTTTCTGAAGCACCAGTAATTTAACCTGTAATTCAACAAATTGTTAAAAATTCACTATTACCTAACATCTAGCAGTGGCGCCACAACTTCACATATGAAGAAGTGAGTTTGAGTATTTAGAGTGTAACTATAAAAAGCTATTATTGCTGTTCAGAAATCATGTTGTCAGACTGCTACCAATCCACGAGCAGCTAACTTGGCAAGTCAACTACCATTTTATATTAGTGATGCCATCAAGCAAATTATTTACCCTCACCAAGGATATGCCTAAGATTGTAGCTGTTCCTAAAACTAAGGCACACCACAAGAACCATGTTGGTTAAGAAAATATATGAATACTGTATTCAAACACATTCATGACGAAGAAGTGAGCCCATGAAAATTGACACCTAACTTATACTATATTTCAGACTTCCAGGAAATTTAAGAAGCTTTTACCTCAATACTTGTCCAATAAAATAGCTTGCAGTTGTCTATTACTTTTTTTTTTCCCCAGCCCAAAGGTTTACAGGACTCTGAGGTGCATGGAATATTTTTGCCCCCAATTAGTTTTATGGACTGGGGTATGAATAGTCGTAATATATAATTTGGGAGGCAGTTCAACAGTAACTTCCCGTAGTAGCCAGTCTGTGGCAATGACATGTCATTTCTGTACACTGTGTAAATTGCTGGCTCTGACTTTATACTTCAATAAAATCTGTTTGCATAGCTCATACTTCTCCTCTCATTGCTGTTAGGCAGGCAGAAATTCAAACAACAAAACATCAACTGTTTGTGTCTGTAAGTTAAATAACCAACACAAAGAATATTTTCGAAATTCATTTGAGAACGAGCAAACCACTGCGAAATTATACAGAAATTGTGGTGTACTTTAAGAAGTGACTGAAGTGCAAAGGAAGAACACAAGTATCAGATGCTTGACATTCTCCCATCTCCTCTCCACACCCTCTTATTTCTTGTGTAGGTGATGCAACACTGAACAGGAGGAAAGTGCTTCGGACAGCTAAATTCTGGGATAAAAAAAAAACTATAAAGGTATGTATATCCAAACTGTGTGTAACATATTCAGACAAAAGACTACATTTTTGTCATAACAATCTACTCCTTTCTTCCATTTCCACAAAAAAAAAAGAAGCAGAGAAGTCCTTTTTTAGAGCTCAGAATACATGTGAAGTATTTCAAGATGGCAAACCCATAGCAAAAATCGACAACAATGCTGCAGATCTCAACTGCTGAGTTTCTTTGCAAGTTTCATTACTGTCTTTGAGAAGTGAATTGGCAGCAGCTTTGTTCAATTAACTCTGACATAAACAAAGTTGATGAACTTTTACCAGTACTTAACTATTTATCAGTACTTAGGCCTTTTATCATCTACTTTTATCATCCATAAGACATCACACACAATACCAAGCCTCCCGTTCTGAGAGATGAACCAACATTTTCTAAGCACCACCACTCCAGTTCCAACAGACTGACTTGTAGACACAAATCTCTTTAAGAAATTTGAGTTCAGGTCCTGGAGAAAGCTACAGGAGCTGCAACTTAGAAAGCTCCTGTTCTCTTACTGATAGGTGAAGGGCAGCAGCAGAAAGAACAGCGCACTCCATGAGGCTGGCACAGGGCTGCATTTGATAGTTAACACTGTAAATGTGCCACCCCAGATAGCTGGCGTGCAGTACTCTTCTGCTGCCACACCCAGGCACGTGCACCTGCCTACTTACTACTTCCCTTCCAACTGCCCAACTTCCAATAGCTTCATTTGCATTTATAAAGCAATGAGGTTTGAGTTTATGACATTTATTCCTACCTCACACTTAAGATAAGCACACTTTACCAACAAATTAACTCAAAATTAGTTTTGCAGTTGGCGGGTTTGCTTTTCTTTCTTTTTAAGAGGTCAACAAGCAGTGGGCAGTACTCTGATGATGAAGGGCACTGCACAGAGGGGCAACTCTCATTAGCCAAGGACAACCCTTTTTCAAAACACAAATGGAGACATTCGAATCTGGAGAGCTTCGATCTTCAAGGCAACTGTTTGGAAGGCTGGTGACTGCACAGCATATAATGTAATATATATAACAATGTAAAGTTTTGTCATCTACCAAGGCAGGGAAAGACTAGGCTGTTGAACTACCTAAAAGATCATTTAAAATCCTGTCCACTTATCCTTCAGAAATTTGCATCTCCTCTCTTTCTGTGGAAACAATATTGAAGAATACAGAAGCTGCTTCAATGATTTGCTTGAAAATTGCTAGTTTCTCCCCAGCTAGCAATGAGCCACTTGCAGGGATGCAGAGGTCAGCTTTGCTGGCTTCTATACCCAGGAACTGCAACTTGCCACTGAAATGAGTAAAAACAAACAGAATTCAAACAAAAACCAAGTTTTCCTTTCTTTATCTTCTCTGGAACTACAATAGCACCAAAAAGCAGACTTTTGGTGACCCTTCAATATAACAAACATTCAGGATTATACATTTATACCTTGGGGAATATTAATGAAACTTTTAAAAATAGAATAATGTTACTAACTTTAAGCCACAAAACCCCTAGTGACTGTGCTTATGAAGACTATATAAAAGGAAGTAGAGACTCCTCCTACAACCATTTGTTTTTCCTCTCTTTTTCTCAACTGAGAGGCATATGGCCATAGGATACCCTTCTGTGTTCTAATTATATTGCTATAAGAAATGCCCCAGACATTTTGTTAGGATGGGACAGAGACAGGAAAAGGGCTGCTTATAATAAAAACAAACTGCTCTATAAAGCTCTTCTATCACTGACACACCAAACTGGAATCAGTAGTACCACAGTGAGGACAAAATGCTCTTATCATTATAGTCTGTAGCCATTCACCAGGCAATGCTTTTTTTTTTTTTTTCCCCCCTAAATAAAATTAAGCAATAAAACAAACAAACAGATATCAGATAATACTTGCTAGACTAAGCTTTTATTAGCAATGAAACCAACAGAGCTCTTTGAACAGAGAATCGCACACCAGGGTAGCCCTTAGAGAATTTTCCCAAGACATCCAGTTAGGTGATCAAACTGTTTCAGGCAGTCTGGACTGAGACACTAACCACAGTTACAGGTAGCACAGGATGGCAAGCACAGCTCAGCCTAACAAAGAGATACAGCTCACATGCTATCAAATGGCCAGTTAATATGCCCAACACTACAGAAGTGCCATAAGGCCATTTGATGAAGTCACCACCAAAACTCTCACTGTGAGGAATATTTTTACTCCGTTGGGATGTACAGGACTTGCTACCCTCCTTTTATACACTGAGTCTTATTTAACCGTGTTATTCTGAGTAATTAGCACTATCCTGGAATGATCTGAGGATGTTACAGGATAGCCAACTTCCTGTACTCAAGCCCAGTGGACAGACAGGTTGCAATCATACCACACATCACATGTAAAGTCTATAAATGCATACGGTGCCAAATGGCTACTAAGACACATTTGCAGCATTCTATTTCAAGTGGACTTCAGGTTCCAAGACATCTTTTAAGGAACAATGGAAGATACACTTTTTTTTTCCCCCCAAAGATCTACTTTGAATCAGGGATCAGTTTTCTGGGAAGTTTTCTGATTGAATATCATGATAAAGCAATTAGCTTTTGAATCTCAAGCCGCACGTGCACAGGAAAAAAAGAAAAAATTAAAAACAAAGAAAGACAAAAAAAAAAAAAAAAAGAAGCAACCAGAAGTGAGGTTTTCTGACAACCGTGTGGCGTCAGCAGCGCTGCAGATTGGTTACTCCCACGTGAGGCAGCAGAGGGGACTGCAATAAGGGTCGGGGCCGCACTGCACTCGGTGCTCCCTCTTCTGGCACCCGGGCCGGGAGGATGGCCGTGGCACATGGCACAGAGTGCAGGAAGCGGGCCGCCGGGGGGAGGGGAGATAGAGGCAAGGTTGGGAAGCCAAAGCAAATTACTCCTGATGGGTACACCCTAATTCTGTTTCTCTCAGATCTGTGAGTTTCTTACACCAAACAGGTGGCCTGTCATTAAATGCTTCTTATTTTCTGAGTTCCAATTTTAAGCCTCTGTAAAACACTGAAACTTAGTAGGTACCACAGACAGCATCTACAATACTTACATGGTTTTCTTTACTGCAGTTTCTAAGCGCCACAATCCCCCATTAGGAAAGTCCTAATAATGCAGACAGGACCACAGCATGTATGGACAAGCTGACACTGTCCAGCTGAATTAAACACTGTTCTGAAGCCATGGTGATTGCTTCCTTTGCTGAACTGTCTTCACTCTTGAATAACCTGTAAATTACAACCATTAAAACTCTGCTTTGATTAAGTGAAGAACACCCCAAATCAGCAGCCATTCTTGCAGAGAATCCCTCTGTGCCTTAACTTTGTCAACACTGATGATAATGTTACTACCTCTCAACGTTGTTAATGCATTCGTATACATGAAGCATTCAGATATTTTCCCAATGATTACACTGGAAAAAGCCTGTAAGGAAAAGCAAAAAATTCTCTACTCAGATAAACATTTAAATATAACGTAGATACAGATGCATTACTTCCCTCCCTTTTCCTTAAATTCACTGAGCAGTATGCATCTCAAACTGAAGGATCCTGCATTAAAAAGTGTGATCATATAATTAAAGACATGTACGATATCACACATGGAGAACTCCTACGTAATGAGCAATGAATTTTTCACCCTTTATTTTGATGTTTACATGTTAATTTGTGCGTAATTACACAGCACCTTAATGTTCTCTTGCAGACAGAAACTATCAGACTATTATTTATAGTCAGGAACTCTTCGACATATGAAAAATAAAAGAGTAAATCAAGTGTCTCTGTATTTTCTTCTAGAAATAAAGAAATGGATCCTGAGATGAACTTGCCTCCAGGCAGCTACCCAAAATTATAAAATTTATCGTAAAAACATCTTTGAGGGCTTAGTTAGCACATTTTGGCAAAAGGACAGAAACGATATTTAAACTGAGGAAACTTGCACTATCAAATATCTGCTGCCATTTTTGTATAGCACTGCAAACATGACACATACACCTGGATTAAGGACATGGCTCCATTTTTCTAAGTGCTAAGCAGAACTAATTCCAAGGGAATGCAATGGGGGTTCTGTAACAGCTTGGAAACCTCTTGAAGAAAAACTATCACCCACATTACTTAATTTCCCAAACACACAGTGAAGAATGAGTCCAGACTTATTAAAATGTAGGTAGGTCAAACACTATTCTAAGGGTTCACTTACAGTCAGACTTCACTTCCGTTGTCTTATAAATCCATCTGGACTTGTAGCACTGAAAAATAAATCTATCTTCACTTTGTAAATTAACATAAAGGCAACCTGATGATGGATGAAATGACAAAGGAAGAAGTTTCATTCTCAGAAACTAAACCATACCAAAACCTTACCCACCACTGCTGTTTGCACTGGAGAACACAACACAAGCAGTCCCAAGTGCAGCACGTGACTTATGACATTTGTTTGCATTTTAGAAACTGAAATAAAATACTGCAAACTATAAAGCCTTAATATTACCAATCGTGTGAACACGTGCAAAACTGTTTATTTCTAAATCAGCTGAAGATGAAAACAAAGTCTGCATCAACTGTACCCAAGGAGATGGACCTGAAGTGGAGGCCACTGAGAGTTACTTATCAATGCTGAGAGGCTGCCAGAGTGGGGCTTACCCTAAAACTATCAGTTTTTTTTTCACTCTCTTGCTTGCACACACATTTTCCTTCATCTCCTTATTCCTTCTTCAGTAGGACTGAAAAAATTCTTCAAGCTTCTGTACTGTTCTCTGACACAGGCAAGAGAGTTTCAAGAGAAGGGTGAGATCTCTCCCTACAGCGAAGTTCCCCAACACAGCACACAATCTAGATAAGGACAAGACAATGTAAGACATTTTAACACTGCTACTTCACCTTATACCCAGAGACTGCATTTTTGCCTGTTGTTAAGGGGCTAGAAAGGTTAGGAGACTGTGTTCACTCTTCTCTCAAGAGTATCTCGGCTCAGAGGCAGACTCTCCCAGCTCTGCACATTAGTCACTCTTAAATATGGTGATCCTGGTACCTTTGGAAACCACAAAAAACAAGAACTGGTGGTACAGAATCATATAATCACTTCACTACTTAGAATTACAGAATCGTTAAAGTAGGAAAAGACCTCTAAGCTCACCTAATCCAACCATCAACCCCTCGCTACCATGCCCACTAAACCAAGTCCTAAGTGCCATGGAAGCATCTTCAGTTATCCTTTGCAACAAGATTCTGGGTGAGATAGATCTTAGGCTCAGGTTTGAAACCCAGAAGAGTAGCAGCCCAGCCTCACAAACCTTCCTGTAATATCTAGAGAAGATGAGCATCGTAAATTCCCCTAAGAGCTCTGAATGCTATCACGTTACTGCAAGCAACAGGAACTGATACTTGGCTATATTTGACAGGCCTTTTATATGTAAATACTGTCAAAAACTGCTTCTCCCAATTTTTTTTTTCCGTTTTGTTAGACATTACTATAGTTAAACAGTTTAAAATCAATGTTTTAAGTGCAATTTTAAAGTTATGTGTGACTAATGCAGTAAGTTTGAGATATTTTTTTTCTTTCAGTTAAGCTGAACAGAGGAATACTTCTTTTTATTGGGCAACCCAGCAGCACTCAATGCAATGCTGCTCACCTATCTATAGTCCGTAAGGCCCAATCCCTAATAAGTAATGCACCATGAGGCAGACTGACAACTACAGCTAAACAACGAATTTTCTCCTTCAAAAATGCATCTGTGGGTATTCATGTTTTTTCACTGCTATTGAGTATTTGATCAATGTGGGCAATTTCAAAAGCATTGTTTAATTGGTCTTTCTTTTGCTTACTACCGAGGTTTCCAGAAGTTTTGCAGCCTGTATTAAAATGAAATGCAGAAATTGTCACACGTAATGTCTGTCCACACATTCACATTACTTCCCTTTTCATTTATGTCTCTATAAATTTAACTAAGGCACCTGCTTACAGAAATTTCTACGTATTTTTAGCTACCGTTGACTGCCTTCTGAATTGGTAAAAATGCAATGATGAGGCAGTGCTACGTGATGAGTGTAATACTGAGAACTCTCACATGAGTACCATTTTACCACGTGAACTTCTAAAAACCAGTAAGTTACTAGGCCTGGTTTTCTGCATTGATGAGACCTCCCTCACCAGCGTTGTGCCACCATCGTTCTTGCTCCGCAAAAACCTTTAAAGCTTGAGCCAAATATAACAACAAGTTCTGCATTTCTGAGTGCAGCTCCTTTTAAACATTCAAAAGAACTCTTTCCGTTTTGCATCTCAATCAAACTTTCACACATGCCACCAGAAACATGAATCACACTAGTGCTATTTCAGGGAACAAGTACAGCCAGTGGCAGGGGAAGCATGCCATCCACTAGATCATGCAACCATACAGGTAATCACAAGGTCATGCTGCAAACAGGTCATTTACTAAGTGCAAACCCATTCTTTTTCTTTTTAAAAAACATGAATGTCCTGATGGCAAACTGGTGCGTGACTTCTGTGCTTATAAGAACCTCCAAAAATGTTCCACTACTCAGGCCTTAGTTTGTATTACACATATGATGTCATACACAATGCAGCACGTAATTTGGCCTGATAAATGCAAGAAAAGGCTAAGAATTCATTAATGTAATCTTACTGTTGAAACATGGCTAATCCCAAGTGTTCAGAACACAAAAGTCAGGACCTACAAAAGAATTATGATTTCAAAAGCACTGCAGTTTTGAAATCAAGTGGGAGCATGTTCACATATTTATTTTTTACTTCTCCTTCAGCTGCTTTCAGGGTTTTCCTGCTTCATGTTTCATACTACATTGCTCAACTGAAAAACTTTCAACTATGAAGTGTTTTTAATTTGGGGCCCAGATGATCCTAAAATGTATTGATTTCAATAGTTGGACCTCTGCGAAGAACAGCAAATACTGGAAAATTACTATAATTATAGATAATATTTAAGAAAACGTTTAAGTGATTTACTTTATTATTTAAGATTGTGTTAATGGAGCCCATTTTTTCAACTATTCTACTTCCTGAGAAATAATAACTGAAAAATAAGATGAGGAAGGCATACAACACATTCAGGAAGGAAGTATCTATTAAATAAACAAATTACAAAGTTTATTCTTTCCAATGCAAAAGCATTATTTATTTATTTATGCAAGATTATCCAAAACAAGCCTGCAAGGAAGGGCAGTTAACTCCTCTAACTGTAGTGGAAATTTTGTACAAGCGTGCAGAAGTAGACCATAACATTGCACATTTGCTTTTCCTCTGCTCTACTGTTTAGCATTTAATTTCATGTATTAAATTCTTTAATCAGTGATTTAATAAGCTACCACAGAAGACTAGCCACTTACTACAAAGCAGCAGCATCTTTAAAAACTAGCTAGCACAATCATATGAAATAAAGAGTTTTAAAATATTGTTTGGTAAGAAGGGGTAGGACTAATCCCTTGCTGAGCCTCTTGTTAACCTCTTCCTAAAAGGTGCATTTGTCACAGCAAGCTGTGCAAACAGCGAAGCCTTTTGACTAACGTATGCAGTTAACTTCAACACTATAATACATCTTATTAAAAACAGTTGAGATGAACGTCACTAAAATGTACCACAGGACTTCTAACCTCTTCTCCTCTACCACATGTTCATTGTGTAATTCTTGTATTTATTTCCAGACTGCACCTACATTAATGCACCACTGCTGCCTGCAGTCTTCAGAGTGATTTTAGTCTCTCCTCTAGCCCACTTAATAGGCCGCATTTTCTAAAAACACACACATGTATACACTGGCATATACACACAAATTAACTATGCTAGCTTCAGTTTCTAAAAATTTACTGTTTAACCACTTAACATTAATAGCACACACCTAGTGATACTAGTTACTCTAATCAAACCGTAATGTTGCCACAGTTCATGAGCAGCACAAGCAAAAATGAAAATGGAAATGAGCAGGAGTAATTCACCCACCAGAAAGCCAATGCAGTCAGTGGCACGCTGACAAGAGCAATTGTAGCCTGTGCTCTGGACAGGAACAGTTGGTCAGACAGGTGATAAGCACTGAATTTAATGCTAAAGATTCAGGGGAAAAGCTTGAAACTGCAACACAGGACACTGCTATCAGGATAGAAAATTTAACGCAGTGATACTTGGAAAACAACAACAAAACCCAAAAAAAAACAACAAACGACGACAAACCCAATCACCACTATTGAACAGTGACAGTTCAATTACTGGACCTACACTGTCTGCAAGAATGCTGCTTCCATGCACACCACTTACACACTAAAATTCACTGTACAAATTAACTTTTATGAACAGTCAATGATAGCACAGGTTTTATTTTACAATTTAAAGTAATTCAAATTGCATTGACAGCTACTATACAGATAAACAAAAGAATATTAAAAACAAATAGCAACAGAAGCTCCGCTGCTTTTTCCCTTTCAACCATCTGATATTTAATAGACAACAAGCTATATTTCCTAATTCTTAACCAGAAATGTATTTTGGTACATTAATAACTATCACATTAACGATGAAATACATCAGCTCCTTTATTCAGGCATCATTAAATGCATGCATATTAAGGCACGTAAGTCAGGAAAAAAACCCTTAATTCATAAGCCCTTTCTCTACCTCCAAAGAGAAGGGAGCTCCTGACAGAATAAAAATAGCAAGACAGGCGATGCAACGCAGCCTCGTCACATGGATCTCCATCATTTCAGCGACATGCTGAAGAACCGAGCCACAGAAACCCAGCCGCGTTAATGTAAAACAGCAATTATTACCGAACCGGCATCACAAGAGCCCCATACAGACATTCTGTACCTGGGTGCTGGATAGTGTTACTTGAAGCATCAGCCTAATAGCCGGTTTATTCATAAGGCACGCACTAAAATGAAACAAACAGTAATTAAGTGCTGGCGGTGACCTAGTTAGCTCGGCGCGGCGCTGGATCGCCCTGTCACTCATTGCAGGCTCGCCGCGATCCGCCAGCAGCGCTCCCTGCGCCCGGGCCCCGCGCGGGGAGCAGCGCCTCACGCCCCGGAGCCCCGCACTCCCGCCGCCCGCTCCCGCCGCCCTCGGTAGCAGCGCCCCGGCCGCCGCCGCCGCCGCCAGAGCCGCCGCCTCGCCTCGCTTCCCCTCCCCCGCGCCGCCGCTCCGCGCTGGGACGAGGCCGCCTCTGACGCGCTTGCTGCTCGCGTCCCCCTTCACCTCCCTCTCCTCCCTCCCCCAACGCGCACGCTGTATAGAAAATCTCCTCTCGGCGGCGGGAGGGCGGTGAAATCCTTCGCTCTCCTCCCTCCGCTCTCCGTAACGCGAGCGAGCCGCCGCCTTCTGTTCCTCAGCCTCGGCCAAGTCGGCGTTTTGTTGACAGGCTCTGCCGGGCACAAAATGGGGCTGCCGCTTCCATGGGCGCCGCCATTTTGTGAGGAGCCGCCGCGCTGGCTACGATCGCAGCTTCAGTACCGGCGGCGGCGGCGATCCGAGCGCGGCGCGGCGGCGGCGGCCGGGGTCTGCTTAATGGTTGAATAGAGTGACCCCCTCCAGGGAATCCCCAGCTGACGGTTACGTAAGGGACCGTGCGCAATTGCCGCGCTCCGCATGGCAGCCCACATAGCCCTGCTACGCAACGCGCCCGTCCGCCCGCCGCCGAGCGGGGCGAGGAGCGCCACTCACCTCCGCCGCCGCCCCTCGCCGAGGGGACCCCGTGGCTGCAGGAAGGCACGGCCAGCAACCGCCCCTCCTGAAGGCAGGGTGCGCTGCGTGCGTCTGACAGAGCGGTTTGGACCTTCGGTGGCTTGTTTGTCTTCAATCTCTCTAGCTTTAGGAGTCTCGCTGCTGAAATAGCAGAAACTCAGAGTGCCACAGACGGGGGTGCGGAGCAGGAGCTGCTGCAGGTCTAATTTGGGGGTGTCTCCTAACACACAGCAAGTAGAGGCTGCATTTCTTACACTGGCATTCAGGCAGCACCTCTCCATTCACACAGAGGCCCATTTTCAGTATTTATTAATTTAAAACGGATATTTCTTTCCTAGATCTCTGACACCCCAGCAAGTGTGACCCAAGGGCAGACCTTCAGAAAGCGCCTGGCTGCATGTCTCTATGCCTACGTTCAAGCTGAAACAGCACTCGAAGAAAAAAAAACCTTCCTAAAAAAAAAATTATATATATATGTGTGTGCGTTTTATTTTCTGAAGTTAGTACATGGAAAAGAAGGGAATTACAGTTTGCCCTAAGCACGCCCTTGGGGCCACAGTGTGCCCCACAGCCCCTGACTGACTAACAAGGAGTTCTGCTTGAGGACGAGGCAAGGCCCCACCTGGCCCTGGGTCTCAGCACTGGCTGTGAGGTAGGAGTGCTCCTCCAGAGCCCCACCTGCAGCTCAGGTACCGGCAGGGAGGCACGGAGGCCCACCTGGGGCCCCTCGGCTTCGCCATCGGATGTTTGGGGCTGAAGGCCCCGCAGGCCCCTCTCGCCCCAGCTGCCCGGCCTGGCCACAGGTACCGTCCTGTGCTCCTAGGCGCTGGATGCACGTGACGAGGGAAGTATTTACAAATACCGCACCACCATATGCGGAGAAGAAGGTGGGCTGCCGCTTATGGCTAACGCCTGGCTGGGGTGAGGGCCGCGTCCTTCCTTCTTCAGTAACGTTTTGCTTCTGCGTTCTTTTCAACATACGGACACAGCAACGTGTCTCGGATGGAGCGGAGCGGCCCTAAAGCTGTCCGATTACAGGGCACGGTATCTCGAGAAGAAAAAATAGGCGTTTGTGGGGCCCGGCAGAGCCCCGGCCCTGCCGCAGTCCTCCGGGGCGGCCCCGGCTCCGCGCCTCCCTCGGGGCACTGCGGGCCCCCCGGCCCGGAGCGGGGTTCCCGCCGCCCCCGCCGCACGGCGCTCCCCACCCCCACGCCATCCGGGGAGATTTCCTGTCCTTGGGAACACCTCGGGCCGGGGGACTCCAAACTTTTCCGAAAGTCAAAATCCGGCAGTGCCCCCTTCCGTCGCCGTCGCCTCTCCCCTCGAACTCGGGGCGCTCGGCTCGGCCCCGTTACCCGGCCCGGCGCTCCGAGCCCACCTCTCCCGCCCTCCCCCCGGAGCGGGGAGCGGCCGCTCGAGCGAGCCCGGCGCGGCGGGCGCGTTTCCCGGCCCTCGCCCTGGAACAACCGGTAGTAGCCGTTTTTTTTTTTTTTTTTCCTCCCCTCTCGTCCCTCTCCCTCTTCTCTTTCCGCCCGGCTTTGTGTGAAGTTTGCGGCACATTGCAGATGAGCCCTTAGCGGCGAGAGGAGCCTATTGTTCCCCGCCAGGAACTGCTTGCTGGGGCTGCGCTGGCTTTTGCCTTCGGAGCTGCCTCGTGCAGTACCGGGAGCGGCCTCCGGGCTCCGCTGTGTTGCGCTCTCGTCCAGGCAGAAGCACGGCGGCCTCAGATCTTTTTGTCTGAGAGAGAAGAGAAGTGAATCCCGTTGCCGCCGCCACCGCCGCCGCCGCCGTAGCCGTGCAGTGTGTGTGTGCGAGAGGAGGGAGCGAGCGAGGGAGAGGGCGACCGCGCGGAGCCGCGTCTGTAACACACACACACTGTCAGTACCTCACTCCGGCTCCCCCCACCCCGCCACAACAGTAACCCAATTCATTGTGTGATCCAGCAGCACCATGTTGAGTCTCATGTGCAGGCTGGATCGGCTGGGTTCGCGGTGCTGAGAGCGGCAGCGGGAGGAGGAATCGCGGAGCGTGCCCCTCTCGCTCCCGTCTCTGTGCCCGCGCGCTGTGTGGAGGCAGGACTCGCGGTTACCGCACTCGCGGGGCTCCCTTATTCCTTTTAAACTTTTTTTCAAGCAAGCCCCTCTCCATGGCCGATCCCCGGCCGAGCACGGGCACCTGGGTCTCTTAAAGGCGAGGAGGAGCCGGGGATTGTTGTTGTTGTCGTCGGCCGTTTTTTTTTTTTTTTTTTTTTTCAAATTGGATTTAATTTTTTTTTTTTTTTTTTTTACGAGGACCTTTTTTTTTTTTTTTAATACAAAAATGGCAAATTCGACGGGTAAAAACCACGCAGACCAGCGGAGAAAGGGACTCGCTTTCCTGGACGAGCTGCGGCAGTTTCACCACAGCAGAGGGTGAGGAAAATGGGGAGATGGCACGGGAGGGGGGGAGGCTTTAACCGAGCAGATCCAACTTCCAGCCCCTTCCCTGAAGGACACGGCGGCCCCGGCGAGGGGAGAAGAGGGGGCAGAGCTGACAAGTGGCGGTGTTTTGTGTGGATCTCCTTTGGCAGGTCTCCTTTTAAGAAGATCCCTGTGGTGGGTGGGAAGGAGCTGGATCTTCACGCTCTCTACACCAGAGTCACCACTTTAGGCGGATTTGGGAAGGTGAGTGGAAGTTTTAATTTGGGTTTCCCTCCCGCTAACCTCTTCCCAAAAGTCTCCTCTGACCCCCGGGGGCGGCGGGGGGAGCCGGGGTGCCGGGAACCGGCCTATTTCCAGAGGGTTAGGGAAGGTGGGGGGTGGAAGGAGGAAGCAGGCAGGCAGGTTGGTGGCTCGGCCTTGTCGGCGGAGCGATGCGGGGGGATCGGGGTACGGCGTCCCCCCGCCCCGGCCTCGCCCCGGCCCCGTTCCCTGCCCACCCCCCCCCTTCCCCCCCCCGGCCCCGGGGGAGGGCGAGGGGGGAGCGGGGCCGTGAGGGGCAGTTTGTTTCGCTTGTGATTGCGGCTCTGCCCGCCTCTCTCTCAGGCAGACGAAGAGAGGAGAGAGTTTTAGTGCAACTCAAAATTAGCGGGCATGTTTAACATCGATAATCGGCACGGAGCATGGGCTAGGAACCGAGCCTCGCGGCCGGGGGGGGCCGGGCGCTGCCCTGCGAGCTCTTCCCGGGGAAAAATAACAAAAGGGGCACCCGAGACGGTGTGTAATCAAATAGCCATCTTTAGGCTTCGAGGCTGGGGACAGAGATGTAGGCCTCAAAAGAAAGGCCTCTCCGTGGCTGTGGCTCCGGCCCGGGGGGACCCGCCGGGGGGACCCCGCGGCCCAGGGGGCGCCCCTCCCGCACCGCCCCGCATTGTGGGCAACTCGTGCGGGTTTTAACGGACCGCGGCAGGATTTAAAAGGGGGCGACAGAGGGAGCGGCGATTGGTTATTGTCCAGGCAGGAGAAACAACAACAAACAAACCCCAGAACGGCCGAACCCTCCTGCTCGACCCCGCGACGTGAAAAATAAAAATCGGGGCTGTGGAGTGGGAGGAGGTGAGGGAGGGGGGGGGAGAAATGCTGGGGAGAAGCGGGGGGATTCCCGGGGGGAAACGCTAGGAAAGGCTGTCAGCAGGAAATGCGGCCCCAACCCCACACGCGTTCCTGTTTATTTATTTCAGTATATTTATCCGTTCGCTCCGTGGCAGCCCCCTGTTTCGGTGGGCTCTGTGGAGCGGTGCTGGGGGCACGGTGTGCATCGGGCCTGTGTTGTTCTGACAGGTCTCTGAGAAGAACCAGTGGGGTGAGATCGTGGAGGAGTTCAACTTTCCCAGAAGTTGTTCTAATGCTGCCTTCGCTTTAAAACAGTATTACTTGCGGTGAGTGCTACCAAGCTGTTGCTGTGGTATTTGTGAGTGTGGGGTTGTGTTTGGTTTTTGTTGCGTGCAATAACAAAAATACCCCCGCTCTTTAAAAATGCTGTAACGTAGACCTGAAAATATGTCCAATTCCTTGTTTGTCTGGTGCAGTGGTCGGTTAAAGGTAATTATGTTTTGCAGCTATTTTATTTGCGTTTTACATCTGCAAATCTTAAACTTCGAAGAGATCCTCAGTGTATAAACGGAGTACGTGGGAGACATTTCTGCTGATCGTTTCTGAACGGTGGTACTAAAGGACAGTTACTGAGGAATCCTGTTATTGCAGTTACAGAAACTTACTTTAATTTTTGAAGCGCTGAAA